AAAAAAAAAAAAAAAAAAAAAAAAAAGATCCTATTCATTCATCTTCCAAAATCTGCTTTATCTTTCCAGGTAAAATGAAAACAGTCAAGTTTGGTTTTGAATATCTCCAAGGAAGGATATTCCAAAGCCTCTCCCCGGGCAACCTGTTCCAATGTTCAAATACCTACACAGCAAAGAAGTGCTTTCTTGTGTTCAAGTGAAATTTCCTGTGTTTCATTTGTGCCCTTTGCCTCTTGTCCTACCACTTGGCATCACTGAGAAGTGTCTGTCCCCGTACTCTGTACATCCTCCCTTCAAATACTTATAAACAGATGACAAGAGGTCATGTGGTCTTTCTCTTCTCCATATAAAGCAGTTCCAYTTATCTCAGGCTCTCCTCATATGAGAGATGCTCCTGTCCCTTAAAAATCTTTAGAGCCCTTTGCTGGACTTGCTGCGAGAAGTCCATGCCCCTCTTGTGCTGAGAAGCCCAGAACTAGACACAGTACTCCAACTRTGGCCTCAATGATGCTGATTAAAGGATCACTTCCCTCCACCTGCTGTCATGGATTGCACCACAGGATGCAATCAGCCTTTGCCATGAGAGTGCATTAGTAGCTCATGGTCAGTTTGAGAATGCCCACTCCAAAGTTGCTCTCCAGTTGGTTGTCCCCCAAACTCTGGTGCCTAGATTTATTCCTGTCTAGGAGCAGGACTTTGTGGTTCCTTTTGTCGAGCTTTATGAACCTGTCTCTCTAGCCTAATGAATTCTCTTGAATGGCAGAGAAACCATCTGATGTATTAGCCGTGCCTCCTAGTTTTGTGTCATCAACTAGCTTGGTGAAGGTGCATTTGGTCACATTATCCAGGTCATTAATGAAGGTGTTCGTACTGTCATCAGTATTGACTGCTACAGGACACCACTGGTCTCTAGCAGAAGTTSATGACATTGATCACAACGTTTCGGATTTAGCAAGTCTTCCCACCTCACAGGCCACTTGTCTAGCCTGAACTTCATTACCATTTATAAKGATGTTATAGGAGACAGCTGATGAAACAAAAACTTTCACTGCTCTCCCTTTATCCCCCAGGCCAGTGATTTCATCATAGAAGGTGATCAGATTGATTAAGTATGGTTTTCCCTTTGTAAATCCATGTTGACTATTCCCAGTCACTGTCTTCTCCTTCACATATCTGGAAATAGTATCCAGGATTAGTTACTCCATCACATTCCCAGGGATGGAAGTAACCAGTCTGTAGTTTCCCAGATCCTCTTTACCTCTTGAAAACAGGACAATTGCTTTCTTACAGTCCTCTGGATTCTCTTCTCATTACAATGTCATTTCAAAACTAATGAAGAGTAGCCTTGCAGTGACAGCAGCCAGCTCCATCAGCTTTCATGGGTGCCTTCTATAACAGTCAGTGCATGCTTGGAGTAACTCAGTGGTGAATCAGGTCCTGTATCTGCAGATAATGTTCTCCTCCATGGTTTGTGGCTGTATGAGTTAATCTGTAAATTCAGTTAGTGTCCAGAAATGCTCAAAGAGATTTAYTTTTCAAACCTACTGAATTGCACAGGTGGATTGTACATATGTGCAGATTTGATAAATAGACACCTAGCATTGATGCCACACTTCTAATACTGCTTATCCTTTAAACAAATGGAACAAGTTGTCAGTATTGCTGATTAAAGATCTTATTATTTGATGTTTTAAAGAATAAGCAAAACAGGAATATAGGCTTATATAGGCTTAACAAAACAGAAAATTTTCTTGCTATRTAAATATATATGTAAAAAAATAGCTATTAATAAGTACCAGTTATTCATCCCTGGCACATCAAAGCAAAGAGGATTAAAAGACAGTTTCTCACTCCACTGCTCAAAAAGTATACACTGAAGTAGTACGACTGCACATCTTTGCTGCAATGTGTCATCCTATTTAAGCAYGAGAAGACACTCGCTATTGAATGGGTCTAGCACAGGAAACCATCTGTTCTTTTACTGGAAGACCTCGCTCCTGATCAAATGGAGCACAGCCCATAGTCATACAGCTGATCTTTATGCCACCATCTCCCATTCTCCACTTATGCAAAGCTACTTGCCTTCCTATTACAGCTGGCGTCCAGCTACTTCTATAAGAATTTTTATTCTTTTAATAGGAGGAATGAGGAGCTTTGCCCCTCTTCATTTCTCTTCTGGCCTAGAAATATATCTAAGGTCACTCAAACTGATCTGAATGTTTAGATTTACCTTAATCATTAATCCCAGGTTAAACCTTATAAGGCTTATACAATGTAAAGTCTAAGCATTATTAACTCTTATGAGTGAATATTAATTAATTATAATTTTGCAGACCATTAAGATTTATTTTTTTGAAATATCTTACCTAAAGAGAAGGAATCAGAAAGASGTTGTTTTGCACCTTTCAGTCCTGAGAATAATTCTTCTCTTGTCCACTGCAGTCAGCTGTGGATTATAACACAGCATAATTTCTCAATACAGAGCTGAGAATTCATGCCAAGTAATGTGTCCTCCAAAAAATACTTCTATATCAATATTAAATTATGAATACACTAAGAGAAAATAATTATATCAGTGGAGAGACTCTGGCCTTTATCCTTTCTTATACAAAGAAGAGTATGGTGCTTTCAGCTAAAACCAATTGCCACTAATAAAATTATAGAAAAAACAGAAAATATTATGGTCAAGGAATAACCACATAAAGTAGAACTGYAATGAAGTATCTATGGCAATTACTAGAAAATAAATCATCTTRCCATAATATCATGAAAATGCAGAATATGCAAATGCTTTATGTGTAAATTATTCAAAATAAAAAATGACGCCTCAGTTATAAATGGATCATTTTAATTCTGTGACATCACAACAATGCAGTTTTATGTCCCTATATAAACCTTAGACTGTAACATCTCCAGGTCATGCGACAGAGGAAAAGGRACTATTTTATCTGAAGACTGAATGCAGAATGTTGAATGGGATTTCTAGATTTTCTCAGCGCACATGCTCTCCTTCTGAATTAAAGTAGCTAGCTGAATCAGAAGTAACCAAGCTGGGACAAACAAGGACTTAATTATTTAACAGCTCAAGATGGGAAGCGGAGTCAGTTCTGAAAGCAAGGAGTCAGCTAGAAGATCTAGAGAACTGGAGAAGAAACTCCAGGAAGATGCAGAGAGGGAAGCCAGAACAGTCAAACTACTATTGCTGGGTAAAAAAAAAAAAAAAAAAGAATAGAAATTGATATTATTTATTGCTATTATTTTTTCCCATGAAGAGATTCTTTTAAAATGAAAATACATTAATGAATTAGAAATATTGTTAGACTAAATATTCTGCTCTTTTCTTATGAAAAATGTGGGTTGTTTTTCTTTCTGCTCATTCCCTTCCTGTCATCTGTTTCCTCRCTTTTCCTTTTTTCCATTTCCCTTCTTCTTTAGGGTTAGGTACATTCATTTACAGAGGATTAAGCAAAGGAATTGATTAAAAAGAAAATACATAGGTATCACCACATTTTGAAAATGTTTATTTCCATTTCTTTTTCTTTACTTTCTACAGCATCAGGAAGTGACTTAGAGCTTTTCTCAATGTATAGAAATGATATTGTGGATAGAGGGATGGACAGTACTGCTGTCTACTGACAATACTGAGATTTCAGTTCATAAAGTTGTTCCATTTTGTGAAGAACATGAAATCTTATATACCACATACACACTTGATACAAGCTATTAACCTTTTTGAGACAGGCTTAAATTGGTCAAATACAGGAAAAGTGTGTTATTATATACTTTGTGACTGTTCTTAGAAAAAGGAATCTGCATCCTGAGTTAGAGCTGGAGTCCATCTATTCCAGTGTTCTGTCTCTGACCTCACCCAATACTTGCCATTAAGCAGATGCAAGAAACTCTGTAAGAGGAGTTTATAGGTTAAGCAGTACAAGAACAGGATTTGTTCCTCAATGCCATGTCTTGGCAGTTGTCTTGGAGGTTGTCTCACACCAGAAAACAAACTATTCCACCCAGAAAATATGTATRCATTTAGTATTAGGATCTTGAATACACTTGAATATGTGCAATCAACTTTTTATTGACCTCACTAAAATTTTAGTCTCAAGATACCTTTGGTCATATGATTTGAGATTAATTGCAAGCTACGTGAAAGAAACTTTTCTTTCATTCCTTTCAAAATCGACATACTCCAGTTTCATCAAAGACAGAAGCACTCTTTCATAAGACAGCACAAACAGCAGATTTAGAAATACTTAAAAGTTTTATGCTACATATTTATACAATATCATTTTATTCATGCTATACTTGACTTAAAAACCTATTTTGTCAGTATTTTAGAAATTCTTTTTCGTAGGCAACTGTTTTTGYATAGGTCACAAGGAAATAAAAATCTGGTAAAAAAGCAGATTAGAAAAGAAAAAAAGAATATAGATGTAAAAGCTGGCATTTGGTCGGTGATGGAAAACAAAAGGTGAACAAAATACCGTTTGAGCCTAGTGCAAAGGTATTGTATCCTTGAGACGGAGTGTATGTGTTTGAACACCTGGAATCCTCCTCTGCTAGGCTGATGTTCATAAGGGACAAAGTTGGAAAATTTCAAATTTTAGATTATTTAGGTCCAAGCTTGTTATCCATGCCTATAAGGTGATCTAGAGTACTGCTTTCACAGGCTGGAAAGCTCCATGCACGTCAACCAGAATAGTCCCATCATGGAAGAAAAGAGAACGAGAGAGGAGAGAAAAAAAAAATCCAAAAAAGTATTTTAGGCATTGAATCAGACTGATTTAAAGCACTAGGATACATATATATAGCCATGCTACAAACAATCTTTTAAAGAAAATTTAATTTATGAATGAATAGTAAGCAAATTTATTATGATCTATTCTATCTGGGATTGTAGTGAGATTCCCAGGAAACAATTTACACATAAACGTATTTCTGTTCATTTAGACAATGTGTTATGGACCACATGTCACCATTGTTTCTTTTGCAATAGGCAAATTAGTTGAAGGTATTCAGGGAAAAAAGTGTAAATGCATATTATAAGTTTTTAGTCTGATTGTAATGTTCTTATGATTAAAATATTTTAAAAATCTATTTCATCCTTTTCCTGATAGGGCAATATAATAGCTAGCCTGGTCTTTCTGTGCTCTTCAGTAGGTTATTTGACAAAAATGAAGTTACATACAGAAATTAATGACACAACATTCGATTATGTTTGGGTCCCATGATCTGGGCAAACACATTATCCCTGATAAGCTAATCATTTGCTATTCATAGAACAAGCTCAGGACAACAGGAAAATTCTTTCTTTCTTTCTTACTTTATTTWTTTATCTGATGTTCTTCACATACTGTTCAGGTGCTAGAAGCTTCAAATCTTCTGTGCTAGATGTGCTTATGCTGTAAAGACTGTACCACTCCCTGCCTTCTCCACAAAGATCTGCATATGTCCTCTGCATATCTGAACTTCCAAAAAATCTGATTGTTTTATGAGCCTGGAGTAAACTCCAAGGTGAAAATTTTATTTCACTGGTATCAAAAAGKATAGGTCAAAAAGTATAATTTATCATCATGTTACACCGCATGCATGCTTTGTAGGAAGCCACCCAGCAATCCATTTGTGAAGTACAACACACACCTAAAACTGTTATGTCAGCTTCTTTATGGAAATTTTTCCGTGATTTCCAGAAAGAAATGGGAGAGTTAAGTAGGGTGTGGGCAAGGCAATAAAGCTATGAAGCAAAATGGAAGTGAGCCAAACTGGGAGTGTAAACGAACTGTTTATATATTTTCCAGCTCATGTAAACATAGAGCACAAGGTGGTCAGTGTTGCTTTTTTTAAGAGAAGAACTGTATTTCCTAGGTATCTTTAGAATAATTTACTCAGGAAATGCTTTGATTGTGAATGCTACATGAGTTTACCCTAAGAGACAGGCCTGGTGAGTTCAGCTGTAAACACCTCAGGGCACATGCAGGGACTCCTGGTACCTCGCTGCTTCTGGACAGAGAAGTCGGTTACATGTTGCATGTTGGCTGCTTATGCAGATAGCCCAGTTATCCTTAGGCTGTTTTTACAAGTTACCTTAAATTGTGAATCCATTAGCACATAACCCTTTTAGCATCTTTTCTGATCCTCTAAAAATCGTGCTTTTAAAAATTGAATGTCTCACTTAAATTTAGTCCTCTCAGTGTTAGGTGTGAGACTACAGTAGTCATCAAAGCTTCCACATAGCTCATGGTAGCAATGAGGTACTCTCAAAATGCTTATCTTGACAAGATTTTTAGGTATCTGCATCCCTTTGTGACTCTCGAAAAGTCAATGTAACAAAATTGTCTAAATAATTTTAGTCAACTGTAGTTAGATGAAATAAACCATACTTGCCTGTTTCTTTCTGTTGACTCTAGGGCATATCCACATTAGATACTACCTTATGAATCTTTCCATGTCTCTTTCTGCAACACCCCTGTGTCTCTAACAGCACAAAAAATAACAGTAATATCTATATCTGACTTGTTTGGCCTAAAGTAAGTTTATCATTTATCATGAAGCTCTGAAACATCATTACTACTACCTGTGCTAGATGCTGTTGCAGTAGGTAGCATTTAAAACATATTCAAACTGTTTGTAAGCTATCTAATAACATTAAGTGCAATGTGATAATATACAAACACAGCAGACCAACATTCCTATAAAGACTGAATTAAAGTATTTCCATTAACTTCTGTATAATCAGTCATAAAGAATTTATTTGGTCCTCTGGTAATTTTAAAGGATAATATTCATTTATAGTTATTAAAACCTCAAAAACAGTACAACAAAGAATGAACAATATGAATTCAAAATCCTATCAGTTGGTAGGCAAAGTGAATCCAGTCAAGCTTCAGTTTAGCATTTAAAGATAAGTGACTTAAGGTCGAATACTTAGAAAAAAAATCACTCTTAAAAGTCTGTGTAAATCAGCCTAAGAGAAAAAAAAAAAAAAAAAAAAAAAAGAGAGAGAGATAATCACCAAGACATGACATTGTTGAGAATTGCTAAATTCCAGGTTGAAATATTTTTAAGGAGAGATCTGAAAGAGATGTCACAGGCTGATCTAGTAGACCTGATATCTTAACGCTTATCATCAAAGGACTGCAGCCCAGCTTGATAGCAGACAATGTGAAAGAGCTCCTGTGCAATGTGGAGACTGGTATTTCCCCTTGTACTCATACCTCATGAACAGACTATGAATCTGAGAGCCAGGAACCCTCAAGTTTCAATCTTAGTTTTATCTACAGAACGGTTTGATTTAGACAATCTAGCAAGTCTTTTTTTTTTTTTTTTTTACCGTTTCCTAGTTTATCAAAGAGCAAATATTTGCTTACTTCACTACAGATAGTTGGCAAGGGATGTTGCATTTGGATTTCAGTCAGTGCTGAGGGATGCTGACCATCTCCAACTGACATCACTGACACTGATGACATCTTTCAGCTCCCAGGAGTAGGCCCAGAAATTCAGTCACACACCCATGTTTCTGTGCCTTTATTTCTGAGGTACCCATCTCAAGTAAATTTTACATTAAAATAGAAAGATACAAATCAGAAATAACATTTCAAAAAGCTGGAAGATCTTAAGTAGATGAAAGGCGAAATGCAAGCTACAGCATATTACTGCTGCTCCCTTTTGGACTGATCTATACAGCTGCATCCAGAAAAAAAAAAAAAAAAAAAAAAAGATTTTTAAAAATTAAGCCTTGAGCTAGGCCTGAGTTTGGACTGGATATAGAGCTAGTCCCTGTATTTTATTCAGGAGATCTGTACTTGTTAATAACTGCCCTTTTTGCTGCCTCCTGAAGGGCGGCAGCAATGAAAAGAGGCCTTCTACTCTCTGGGCAGTCATTTAAGGGCTATAACGGCACCAGGACCTCTGTAGTTTTGGGCTGGTCCCTGGAGTGCAGGGATACAGAGAGAGGGAAGTGCTGCCGCCCCTGCCCTCAGCCTGATGTTCTGGCCAGAAAGGGAGGCTGCACATGATGGAGGAGGAAGAAAGGAAGCAGGTGCAAAGTAAATTGTTTCTGACCAGTTTCCTGAAGTGCAAATATAGCTGACATGATACTCTGGAGCATAGCCAAAGCTTGTGTGTGGTTGGTTATTTTGATTAAAGCAGAGGTAGAAAAACATACCCATAAGATACAAGTTTTCCTCTTATTCTGTTTCAACTTTGTGTTTCTCTTCTGCAAGRGAGATTCACTCAGGTATTATGCTGTCTGGCCTCTTCCCACAAAGGGTGAATGTCTGCAGCCTCAGAACAGCTCTTTCCTTAGAAAAAAAAAAGGTAGCAAATGCCGCCTTGCTGTAGTAAATGCTGCAAGTTCTTTAGAGGAGTACTGGGAGGATAATGAATGATATAACAAATTTACACATTTACAACTGGTTGCAAATGCAAAACCACTGTTGTCAAAGTGGTCGTTTTTTCCAAACTGTGACAGATGGCAGCATCATCTCACTTTGCATAGGCTTGGTGTTTTCTTTAGCATTTTCTGCTATTCACATCAYAGGATTTAGAAAACGCTTTGCATGTGATTTGCTGTTTGTAGTGGTGCATCTGTGTAAATTCATCCCTGTTATTTACATATTATTAGATTCACAAAATCTGTTTAGAAAGTTGGTAGTGAGTTCATTCCACTCATTAAGAAGCCTCCAGATAGAACAGTAAGTACCAAACTTGTTTTTTTATCAAAAGCATATGACACTGTCCAGTGAGGTAAATGATAATCTGCAGAGTTGAATAAGGAATCCTCTCTCATGGATTCATATTCAAAATTAAATCTTCTCCTGAGGTACCTTCAAATCATAGTTCAGGTTTGCCAGGTCTTGCCAAGCCCTGTTCCTCCCATTTTCACTGCAGCTCACCGAGAGTCACCCACATTGGTTTCCCAAGGAAAAGGGTAGATTGTGCTTGCATTCCTTTTACAACAGGTAGGAAGGCCAGACTCCTTGAATTTAATTTCATATCTAACTAAATCAGAATTAATATTCTTGTACCACGATTTCATTCATTCTAAGTCTTTGAACTAAAACAAGGGAGGATTATATTCGTAGGAGGGCGGCCTGAAATATCTGTATGCCTCTCTGTAAATGAACACTTATGTATGGCACAAAAATATTCTTAAAACTTTCTAGTTATTTGTGTATCACATTTCCTCAACATTCCCCTTCTGCAGGTGCTGGAGAGTCAGGAAAGAGCACTATTGTAAAGCAAATGAAGTAAGTATATGAATATGCTTATCAGTTGTTGAATTTGGATATTTGTAGTATAAGTTATGTAGCTAATGTACAATATTCATATTTATTTGAATAAAATACAAAGAAACATTAATAAAGTTCTCATTCAACCATATAAAGAGAAATACAAAGTGACTGAAGCCACACAGCTTGTCTGGTAGTCAAATCTGTCTGAACAAATCATGCACTGGTCCAATTCCAATTTTACTGGTTTCAGTAAAAGTTCTGTGACTCAGACACCATCTTGAACCCAAGATAGTATCATTGTGCTTAATAGTCTCCAGATAATCTGCTCCTAAGTCTCTGCTGCATCTCTTTTTSAACTAATTCCATATAAATTAATAACAACAGTATTATGTGTCAAGCAGTTTCACAGTTTAATTATATATTATGTGAATTGTTCAATGTTCTCCCTTTTGTTCAATGTTAATTTGGTCCTACTAGTTTATTTGATTTCACTGTATTGCAAGAGAAAATATTGAAATTTCACATTTTATAGCAGGAGAGCCAAGCCTTTTTTAATTTCTTTTTTTTTTTTTTTTTTTTTTTCCCAAACTGGGCTCTGTATCTCATTCTAGGTCTCCTCACCACTGTTAGAGCTCCTGCCTGTGGCTAGTAAGATTTTTTGCACATTTCCCACAGACTAGATGACCGAGTGTTTGGCCACAGGCCTACATAGTGAGTACCTGCTGGCACCATCTAAGCTGTGCAGGAGAACTTATTTACAGGGGAACGAAGCACCTCAAAAAGCATTCACACAACCATCAAGTGGGGGAAAAGCAGGCTGGACTATCTCAAATGCAGGAATCCCTGTCCAGATTCTGACTGAGCATGTAGCTAGGAAGATGTTGTGATTTGTAGTTTAAAGCTAGTCCAAGAATAGTTTTGAAAGATGTCTACTTGGCACAAACTGGGTGCACACAGAGGGAAGTCAATAGTTGTATTTCCCTGGGCTTCAATGAAATGACAAATTCATTTTTCTTTCCATCCTCTTCATATTTACAACTTAACATCAAATTTTTCATGCATGGTTGTGAAACCAAGTCAATCTAACTGCAAATGGAATTATTTTCCAAGAATTATGTTGATGGAAACTCACTCTTCATAGAAAATGTTAACTTTCAGCCAGAATCATGGTCTTTTTAATTTTTTTTCCTAAAAAGATGAACTTCTCTGTAAAGAATACTATTTTAGTGGKTTTTTTTTAAGCAAGAAAGGCTTTAAACTGTTTACCAAAAAAAGATTTTGCTGAAAACACAAACTTTCCACCAAAATCATTTAATCAGTTTTATTTTACTACTATTAATATATTTTTTCTAATTCAGAATCCTCATTATTTCTAGACTCCCAAATACTACGCTTTACATAATATCCTATGATGTTTGAAATATAGATATATTGCCGTGCTTTATAAAAGTTAGATTGTTTGTAAAGGAAAAAAATAAGCTTCTAATCTCTGCCTCTAGGTGGATCATTTACAACATGTGAGCTAGCTTATTTAAAGACAAGTTGAGTATTTCTGGGCTATGCCATAATATAGTAATGTAAATCTACTTTATGGAAATCAGAATTATAAGAACTTAACAAGTGAAAAGCATGAAACACTGCAATATTTGTTAACTCATTGTGCCTGTTGAGGCTGAATCAATTTCACCTAGCTGGTGAGAAATCCGCTTTGTGTGGAGAAAAAAAAAAAAAAAAAAGACTAATTTTTTTTTCCTCTAAAATTYAGGTATTATGGGTAGCAACCTAACACCTCATTCTTTCATGTATTTCTTTATTTTTGAAARAAATAATCAGGCAACTAATTATCCCAGATGATATAAAGCCATATTAAGATGGCATCATTGTTTCAAAATCTTTTTTTAAGAATGTTGTATCTTTAAAATGAGCAGCAAAATTCACTACTGATTTGACAGACTGGGTAACATACATTCTGCCAGAGGATATATCTATTTATATATGGATATAAATATATATAAGAAGTTTCAAGCAAAAGCAAGTTTCATTCTTTCTCGTTCTGTAATTACAGAATCTACTTTTATTTCAGGATTTTTATTTTCTTCCTCCCTTTGTTCTTCAAAGAAAAAGTATATAAAAACATAAAATAGTCATTTGGATTGTAAGTCTCAAGGCTTTTCTTTCACTCTCCTCCCAGATTTTTGCAACCGCACCCAAAACACCACATCTTCCACATAGATCCTGTTACTTGCATCACTGCATACAAAATATTTAAGCCAAGCTCAGGTTTGCATGTTCTGAGGAGCTGAGTTTCTATGCGTTCTCTTCCACTATTTATAGAAAAACAGGAAGAGTAAGAGGGAGGAAAATTCTCTTAAGTACACTTAAACTGAGTACCAGTCTAAGGTTCAACATTGCTTGATGACAGCTGAAATTGCTTTCCCATTAAAGACAATCTGACCTGTTAAAGGAGATCCTCTTCATCAGTGGAAACTCTGGGCTACATGGTCCTGTATACACAGGCCACAAATGTCCAGTAGTGACAAGTCATTCATCTAGTCCCAAGATATAATCTAAAAGTAGCCAGTGSATTGTTATGTAGATGTCTTAGTTTTTCCCAAGAGAATTAATGTGTTCCCTCGGCTAGTCTTATTTCATTCAGACCACTGTTGACATGTGGACGTTTCTGGATGTTTCAGAGGATCAGAAAACAAATGCCCAGTAGAATATCACACTGCCAAACAAGGACAGCTCTGAATCAGTCACATCATTTCACACGTCCCTTCTTTGCTTGTATAACGCTGTTCAGACTGTCTCTGACCAGAGAGGGGAAAAAAAAATAGAATTGTTTGCTTGTGTTTGCTTATTTACATGGCCTTGGCCATTGCCATTGAACAAATGAGGTGAGGAAAACAGAGCCCTTGTTCTGGTAGGTATTTCTTAGCCAAAGCAGTTTATACTCTGCTCACTGAAAGTCAACTGTGCCAAAACAGATCAAGTTTTCCTTTTCACAACAACAACAACAAAAAGGACAAAAAAACACATCTCTGAGTCGTAATAAAATCCGTAAACCGATCTTGGAGCATTTTAACCCCACCTCATTCCTCAGTCAGGGAAGACTATGAAGCTATAATCTCTCTCTCAGGATTTGGAATATGGGACAAACTCTCTGGACACCTTTCAGTAACTGCATTTTTGTATTAAATGCCTTTTATTAGCTTTTAATTACTTTTAATTACTTTGTAAGTGAAGCTGAGTTTAAAGAAATAGGAAAAATTAAATCATTTGTCAAGGAAGCAGCGTACAGTGTACAAATACCACTGAAGTCATTTTTCCTGTATAGATAAATTCAGGTTAAAAATGAGATTGACTAAACAATGTGAATAAAGCTATGACTAACATAATAGATTCCTAGTAACAAAATGAGCTGTAGCCTAAGACACTTTGCACTGTCATCCCATCTACAGGAACGTGGAAAGTCCCAGACTTGCTCTAGATACAGACCATAGGTTATCTTCTCAAAAGTAATACAGTACCTATTCACCTTGTTAAATACTAGCCTCATAAGTGTAAATACCTAGAGGATATTGAAATTGTTGTCCATTAACTGTGCCAGCAGATTAAATTTGCTCTTACCCTTGATGAACGCTTTTCAAAAAATCAGATGGATTAAATTTGTATTCTTTACATACACCACAGAAACACTTGATATATTTTGATCCATTTCTTGACTTATTCCTTTAATGCCTATCATAATTYTGGTTGTTTTTGTTTGTTTGTTTGTTTTTCTCTATTTTCACAACAGGATCATCCATAAAGATGGTTTCACATATCAGGAACGCATGGAGTTCAGACCTGTGATTTACAGCAATGCATTGCAGTCTATCCTATCTATTGTGAAAGCAATGACGGTATTAGGAATCAGTTATGAAAATCCAGCTAGAATTGTAAGTCTGATGCCTTTTCTCTTGAAATAGGTTTTTGTTTGTTTGTTTGTTGATTTTCTTTTTTTTTTTTTATTTTGATGATATACTAATAGGGGCTAGTAGAACAGAGTAAGAGAGTTCAGTGCCTACTTGATTACAATGGAAACTAAGTACTTCTTGAATTATGCAGGTGACAAGACATCATCTTCTTTATTTTCTCTTTCTCCAGAATGATGCCTGAGATGTACCTTTGTATTAACTTTCATTTCTGCAATGTTTTCATGCATTTAATGCATAAATTCTGATTTCTGTTAYAAAAGAAATGTTCAAACAGCAAAGACATGGGAGAAAAATGTGAATTTTTGCTCTTTTATTCACTGGTATTTGAAAATGTAATAAATATTTCCATTTTATGAATAAATATGAGTGCTATGCCATGAAAGGAAAGATCATTTAGACATAGTGGGAACAGTTAAGTTTTGCATTGCTCCCAGGCCAGAGACCTCCACCACAATATGGAAGCAGTCACTGACYGTTCCTGACATTGCAAAGTTTGGTTTGTCCTTCCTCACGTCATTAGCAGTTCTATGCACTAGCGCACGGTCAAAAACACTTTCTTTTATCTCCAGCTTCTTTAAAGCAGCTAGTAACAATCATTCTAGTACTTTGCAGCTTTTACTAAGACCCTTCAAATACGATGATCCATGCAATGACCAAGGAATAGTTTATTCAGAAGTTTTACCAGGGACACCACAAGTCTGAGGAAGAGTTTTAATTCTTTTGTTTTCCTGTGTAAATGGCAGCTATCACATAGTTGGATTCAATATGAAGGTCCATATCAGATGAAAAAACTTTTGGCTTCTTTTGACAAGTAAACTTGCAAATGCAACAGTACCTGCTTCTTAATAAGAAGACTGTTATCTTCTCGTTATCTTAGGATGATCAGATTGAATGGCAGGGACAGAAGTAAGAGAAAAACATATCTTTCTGTCCAGTACATGTCTAGTATTGCTTGTAATACAGATTTTCCTAAAAATTTTTCAAAGGCCTCCCAGAATATCAACTGGTTCTAGTTTTCTGCCTGTTCTAGTTTTCTGCCTGTTCTTTAGAGATTTGTTTTAAAATGAGTTGCATTCACTGATACGAAATGAGCTTTCACTTCCACCAGTTTACATTCAGGGACTATACATTGCCTAAAGCAGCTGAACCTACAGAACCTCACCAATCCTTATTTCTAGGTCCGGACTTTGCATCTGCCCTCTGTACTTCAGATATGTTCTTCCTATGCCCAAGCATTTTGGCCTAATTTCTCAGCCCTAGCAAACTTGATCTGGACAAATATGAAGATCTCACATCACAGCCTGTCTGAGCTCCTTCTCCAGATTTTGCTTTCACCATGTTCCTTCCAGTTCTAAATTGCAGCCTGCCTAGGCCTCTCTAGATAACAGCCTTATCCTTCCAATGTAAACATTCCCTCCAATTTTGTGCCTTCTACAAACTTGCTGAAAGTGCATTCTATCTCACTGTCCAACTCATTAAACAGATATTAAATAGTATTGGCCCTAGCATCACTTCCTCAGGGATGCCACTGGCAACAGTCTGTCAGATGGACTCTGTACTGCTGATCAATACAAGTCTTTGAGTCCAAACACCTAATCAATTTTTCACCAATCTTATTGCCCACTTAGGCAGTTCATATCTCACCAGCCTGACTATACAGATATTGCAGGAGAATGGGTCAAGGGCTTTGCTGAAGCCAAGATAACCCCCATCTCTCCCCTCCTTGACAAAGCCGGTCATCACATTGCAGAAAGYTAAGCAGGTCAGCCAGGCATGTGCTAGGCAAATGCCTTCAGCAAATCCATGCTGGGTCTTCCAGCTGGTCTTCAATCACTCAAGAACATGCATAAGTGACTCTGAAAGCAACAGGAAGTTCTGTATCCACACTTCTTTAGTCCATTTAGTCTAATATGCGATAAGTGCTTGATCAGAGTCCGTAGGGTAGGGCAGACCTTACTAAATCTTTTTTTTTTTTTTTCCAGTACATTCTCTTCCCTTGTAACAAGTGTTTACAGAGATTATCAAAACTGTAAAACTTCTTTTTTTTTTTTCCCCCCCAGCTGTTCAAGCTGAGAACTTTCAGTAACTTCATGGTTCAGGTTTTACATAGGGGTCACTGTTTCAGGAGTTGACCATGGAACAGCTTCTCAGACGTAACTAAGTATCACCCACTAGTAAAAGCTGACTGCTCTAACTCACATTGTAATCAGATGTATGATTTGAAGACTATAATTTTAACATGAAATTCAAAGTTTTATTTACTTTGCATAATGGTAGACCACACATGAGTATTTGCCAAACTGTCAATACTTTTTTATGGACTTCTTTTTATATTTTGAATATATTTTGAATTTCATGTTAAAATTATAGTCTTCAAATCATACATCTGATTACAATGTGAGTTTCTTATATGAATTTACTTTTACAAAACTGAAGTTGCAATGAACAGTGCAAGGAGGTTACAAACTTACCTGCAAAAATCCATGCTGTCTTCAAAGAACTGATTTTCAAGAGATTTCACAGCTTTGAGGACTGGGAAAATGTGTATTAAGCAGTTCAGGTTTTCTTTGGGCATGGTCCATAATCAAATACAAAACAAAAACAAAAACAAATAGTAATTCTTAGCAAGCTTTAGAGATCTTTTGAACAAGATCTATTCTGGAAAGAGGGGGATTTCTTTTCTTTCTAAAGATCCATTGCAATCTATTTTTGCTATGAAAATCATAAAAATTCTCTATAAATGCCAGAGAGAATCAAAACATTATTAGGGTTATTATAAACTAAACCTGCTGTTATCTTTCTTTTTTACGTACGCAACAAAATTCACAATTATCAGCTTTTATGTAATAATCAACAAACTCATTAACTGGGACATTCTGAGCTCAAGGCTTGAAGGCTACTCAGCTATCAAATCCAGCATCGCAGGATTATAACCATTAGATGATAGTTGATATCTTGAACAAGAGCACATTTCAACTCTTATCTTGAAGCTGAACTACCGTGCTCTCTGGAGGGCGTTAGTGTCTCCACGCAAGCAGGAGCGTACACAAGAAAGCACGAGYCAGTTCTCTTGCTCAGAGCACAGAACTAGAAGATGGGTACACAGAATAGAGCAGTTTTTGTCTAATTTAAAAGGAAACTATTTTTTAATGTAYTGCCCTTCTCCTTGTTCTTTCAACTGATTTTTTTTCTGTTTTTTTCTCTTTTTCATTTATTCTCCATCCCAACTTTTTAAAAATTCTCCCCTTCTTAAAAACTTGTAGTGTTTTATTTCTGAGCAGTTTCTGACTTTCCCAAAGTTTCTTGTAGTTTCTAATTAAAAGTAAATTATATTCTTAGCATAAATTTGTTACAATTTATTGTGAAGATATTTTCTATTTTTGAATAAAGCATACTTCCTTTCAAAATGGTGTCTTTCAGAATATATTTCTTCCTCTGAGACTACTGATTGAATAAAAGTCATGTCAGTTGTCTGCTTAGAAGTAGGAAGTAATTATTTTCTATAATTATCCATTGCTATGACAGTGTATCAAATGACCCTATTTTTAATCCTGCTCTTTATTTAAAATACATTTCCAAGCCATTAACTACTGAAAAAAAWTTTTTTAATCTAATGAATGGCTTCAAGTCTTTTGAGTTCACTGCAAAAAGAAGAAATTAGAGAATAATTCATATAAAATTAATATATTATATTTCAATTTCTGCTTTAATATATTCAAAATATATGTAAGCATTATTTTTAGTTTACTTTATGATACAGAACTATCCTCTTTTATAAAAACCGTCTTTACAGGTTGGACCTAACGTAAACATGTTGTTGTAAGATGAAACTGAGATCTTGTATGTATTTTAAAAAAGGTATTATGTAAGTCTAGCCTTGGTACTACCTAAAGTGAGCTTGTAAAAGGATTTTTACACCCACAAGCAAGTACAGCTAAATGGAAGGAAAACTGTGAAAACAAGGAATTTCTCTCATAGTAAAACATATGATTATATGATTAACATGTATAAGTTCAGGAAGTGAGAATGCAGGGAGGAAGGGGACAGGCTGTTTTCACTGGTGGCCAGCGATAGGACGAGGGGTAACGGCCACAAGCTGGCGCACAGGAAGTTCYGTCTCCAGGTGAGGAGGAACTTCTTTAATGTGAGGGTGACAGAGCAGTGGAACAGGCTGCCCAGGGAGGTTGTGGAGTCTCCTTCTCTGGAGGTCTTCAAAACCCTCCTGGATGCCRCCCTGTGCCACATGCTCTAGGGTGCCTGCATGAGTGGGAAGGTTGGACTAGATGATCTCTAGAGGTCCCTTCCAACCTTGAATATTCTGTGATACTGTGATTCTGTAAAACAAGCTTATCTTCAAAGACATGGAGAGGCAGAGCATGTTTCCATATTACTTACTACAATTTCTCTTTAGGAAGATGAAAAACAACTTTGTGCCATGGCAGCAACCCTAGAGGAYGGTGATATGTCTTCTGAAGTGGCTAAGCTCATTAAGCAGCTGTGGAATGACCAAGGGATTCAGGCCTGCTATGCAAGGGCAGCGGAATACCAGCTCGATGACTCAGCAGCTTAGTAAGTGACACAAATTACAGTTGTTGAACAGCTTGGTATTACCATGATGGGTAGTGTAGGAAGCTTTATATCTAGAACACTTCCTCAAATACTCAATGTATAAAAATTATACAATGTTAATCTGAAAAGGAACTAGGCCTACTGTTGATGRGTCTGAATTTAACACCAAAACCGAAGAAAATTTTCATTCTGTGAGCAGGTTTAAACAGTAAAAAATATTTTTACCTCTAGTTAGAAATGATTCCAAAAAGTGGCTTGAAACAGCTTAGGTTTTACCTAAACCAGTACTTTGAATTCAAGTCTAATTGGCAGATTTCAAGCTTCTAATAAGTCTGATCAAAGCTATGAAAACTTTCCTTTAAGCGACCCTGGCTGCACGTGGCCGTGTGCCCTGGGCAGTTGTCATCTCAGGGTCCCAATGGGTCTTGGTCTGCAGTGCTGTAACTGCTGTGTAGCACATCGCCTTGTTTTCCTTTCTGTGATTTGGAGATGCCAGATGCATAAGCTGGGGACTAGGGCTGCTCRGCTCTGATGCAGTGGGGAGTCAGGATTCAACTGAGGTACCTGTCCCAGTTTCAATGTACTCTCACAGTCCCTACTTTGGTTGCTTCTTCAGCTGTTAGAGGTACCTCTACGGCCTCTGGGTGCTTCTGCTCTGCAGTTTCTACCAAAAGGTAGAAACCACCACAAGACCTGGAGGAGAGGTGTCTTGTGGGTCTTCACTTTCCAGGAGCGCAAAAGTCAGGCTCCAGTACTGCAGAAAGGAGGTGTTCCACCTGAAACCTGTTTTCTGTCTTTCTTCTGGCAGTTGTGATACGAGTTTTTCTGCTCCTTCAGCTCCTCCTATCGGCAGAAGGTACCTGCACAGGGGAACTGCACAAGGTGTCAGATGCCACTTGCAGTTAAGAGGAGAAAGGCATAATAAAAGTCTGTGCAGAAGCCAGGCAAACTGATTTTGGAAACCAGTCACTCACTTCAGTTATTAAAGAGGATATACCAAGAAAAAAAATATATAAAATTGAAGATATCTTCAAAATAAGTATGAGGACCTTTCTGTAAGATGCTAAAAAGAACTAGATAGAAAATATTGTCTGCACTGACAGTATTTTATGGCAACAATTTATTCCTAAGGGAATAACTAATGCAAGTGCAGRGCAATCTTGTTTTCTTTCATGTACTGTTACGGCCACACTGCAATTTCCATGACTAAAAGTCYATCACAAGTCAGTAATTTTTAATTTGAGGTAGATTTAAGGGAGCTGGTATATGCTGTAGAGCAGCCAACAATCATTTGTTGGCTGAAGCATTTCCAGTAAGAGTTTTACATCTCAAAATCCCATTAATCATCTGCCTTCACCTTTAGGTATCTAAATGATCTTTGAAAAACGTACCCTTAGTTCTGAACAATTAAAATTGATTTCATCATTGTTATTGGACTTCTAGTGATCCATTCAAAGTGAACTGGAGTCAATCAACTACCTAATGTTATATTTGAATTGTTTTTTAAAAATGAAAAATTTGCTTCTCAGCTCTTATGAATCACTYTAGCCCCACTTGCACCTTAACAGAGCACTGCACAGTGTGTTAAGTTCTGACCTTTAGAGGTTAATGGATTATTTTCGTTATTAAATTTTGCTAATGATTTTCAACACTGTATTTTCTATATGCATTTTTATGCCACCCACTCCAAAAAAAAAATCTTTTTAATAATGGTAAGTATCCTGCATGTCAATTTTTGCTAGCATTTCTGTCCTACATTCATTGACAATTGATCTAGCTTTAAGCAATGGGCAATAGGTCAAATGAAGGAAGGGACAATACCAGCATATAAACTGTGACTTTAACTCTCCTGCAACTACCAGTAGTATACGGTGCTTCTCAGTTGCTCAGTCCTGCATTTCAGGATGCCTCCTGTCACCTAACTTTGGTAAAGAAAAGAACAAGCATTTACATTAACCTACTAGTTTGTGTTCCCTTGTGTGTCAATGGCAAGCAGGGCTGCAGAGCCTCCCACTGCAGCTGTCTAAAGCTGTGGGAGGAATGTCCTTCTTGCTCCATTAACCAGGTAGTCAACGTGGACTAATTCTTAGGCAATTAAGATTTAAGGTGTTGGAATTCTGGTATTTGTGTCTTGAAGCTAACAGACGATTATAATAAATTTTAGGTGTTTACTTCAGTGCTTCCATGCTTTATTAGTTGCAAAATTTATTTGCTTTCTGCCTCCCACAGAGTTAAGCTAAGAAGGGTTGGCCTGAGGCTCTGCTCAGAAAACTATAGTAACATTCCTTTTTTCTTTTTTTTTTTTTTTAATAAATTTTATACTGGATTGAAATGATACACCCATCATTTCAGTGAATTGCTGAGATCAACTTCTGCATTCCTTGCTGAGTGGATTGAGACTATTCAAATCAAAATATGAAAATCTCATTTCTAAATGCTGCTTACTAGTCTAATTCAGAAAGATTCAGGTTCCTCTTTTCCTTTCCCTCTCCCTCTCCCTTTCCCTTTCCCTTTCCCTTTCCCTTTGTCCTTTTTTTTTTCTTTTTTTTTCTTTTTTTTTTTCTTTTTCCTTTCTTATTTACAGACATATTAAATTTCACAGACAAGGATGATGAACTGTGAGGTTTGTTTTGATAGCTCTCTAGCCAAACCATACAGCAAAACTTCCTGCTGCACAGACTGTATGTAAGAGAAGAAAAAAAAAAATAAAGCTTAGAAAACATTACAGAGATTTACTGTTTATTTCTTCTTTGTCACAAGCAAACAATAGACATATTACAAGTGGAAAGGTGCCACCTGACATAGTCGGAGGACTTGAAAATGGCTCAACTATTGTTATGTGGTCTCTCCTTCCTTCCTTCCCTCCTTCCTTCCCTCCTTCCTTCCCTCCTTCC